CCTTTGCTTCCAGGAAGAGCAGCAGACCCGGGTGGCCCTGGCGGGCCCCGATAACCTGTTGGCATTAGGGACAAGAAAGGAGGGTTTAAACAGGACCCCAAGGCCCCTGGGGGCAGTCAGGTGCACAGTCACCCATTCAGGGGACAATCTCTGACAAGTTTGTGGCATGAAATGACTTTGTCTTTGTTTTTAAAAAATTGTCGTAAAATACATATAACATAAAAGTTACCATTTTAATCATTTTTAGGTGCACTGCTCAGTGGCATTAAATATATTCACCTTCACCACTGACTATCTCCAGAACTTTCTCATCCTAAACTGAAATCTGTCCCCGTTATACACTCACTCCCCATGTCCCTCTCCCCTCAACCCTTAGCAACAACCGTTCTACTTTCTCTTTCTATGAATCTGATGACTTCAGGGGCCTCATATGTGTGGGATCACAGGATCCGACCTTTTGTGACTGGTTTCTTTCACTCAGCAGAATGCCCTCAAGGGTCATCTAGGTGGCAGTGGGTGATAAGAGTTCCTTCTTTTTAAGACTGAATAAAGGCTGGGCGCCGTGGCTCACACCTGTCATCCCAGCACTTTGGAAGGCCGAGGTGAGAGGATCGCTTGAGGTTAAGAGTTTGAGACCAGCCTGGCCAACATGGTGAAACCCTGTCTCTACTAAAAATACAAAAACCAGCCGGGCGTGGTGATGGGCACCTATAATCCCAGCTACTCGGGAGGCTGAGGCAGGAGAATTCCTTGAACCCAGGAGGCGGAGATTGCAGCAAGCTGAGATCGTGCCACTGCACTCCAGCCTGGGCAACAGAGCAAGACTGTCTCAAAAAAACAAAAAACAAGAAAACAACCAAACAAAAAAGACAGACTCCTCTTGTGCTAGGTGCGTACTGACTGCATTTTTCCTTCTTAATTCCTCTGTCGATGGACACTGGGGTTACCTTCAGCACTTCGAGCTTGTGAATAGTGCTGCTGTGAACCCTGACGCACAAATGCTTGTTTGATGGGTGACTTCATCTTTACGCCATCTCTTTCCAATATTCAGCTCATTTGTGATTAGGATATGCAAATTAAATTTAATATTTGTCTAAACACAATACAGTGAGGAAGAAGAAAGCTGTTCATATTGCATATTTCTGAGTCCCCTGCAGTTTGAATATCTGCTATTACAGCAAGTAAATGACATGGCCTGTGTCTCGGCTTCCCGGAGACCAGGTCGTACAGGTGATGGAAATGACACCGGAGGACCATGATGGCCCCTGCCCCTTTGACCGGAGTCTGGGCACGGTGTGGAAATGAACGTCTGTTCTCCCCCTAGATTAAGTGGGCCATTGCCAGCTCCTGCCCCTAGAGATGTCGAAGCACAGATGCCTAAGTCCTGCTTACCTTTCAGGCCAAATATCCCTGGCGCCCCTTTGTCACCAGGTGCCCCAGAGATGTTGGAAGGGGGCGTGATGCCAGGGAACCCCTGAAGTCCTGGACTCCCAGGTGGGCCTCGTTCCCCTTAGGATGAAAACAGAAGACATTATTTTCAGCATTAGCACCCAACTTTTCAAATCTACTGTTTTCCCTCCACACCATCACCTGCGGTGGACCAGAGCCTAGTGAGTGAGACAGTGATGGGAGGCGCCCTCAGGCCAAGGATCATCTCATGATGGGGCTGGGGAGGCTCTCAGGGTGGGGTTGGGGAGGCAGGGGCTGTGAACCCCTCCCCCAACTCCAGCCTTTCTCCTGTGAGGAGCCCTCCACTGGGATCCTTCTGCCTGTGCTCCACTTCCCCAAGGCACTGCCCGATCATGCTTAGATGGAGCCTCAGCCCCAGGCGTGGCACAGCCGCTCAGACTCTGATCCTGATACATGTGGACAGTGGTCAGCACACGTGATGGACGGAAGGTTGAAAAATTGCTGCAAATGAGGCTTGCAATTGACATCAGTACGGTCAACCCTCCCTGTGGCTGTCCTCCAGTGCCTTGGATCCCAGCTTGGACAAAGTGGGTCCTCATTATTCACAGATTCTGTATGTCCCAACTTGTCTGCTCACTAAAACTCACTTGGAATCCCCCCCAAATAAACACTGGCATTCACAGCTATACACGGAGGCAAAGTGAGTCCCAGCTGAGGTCCAGCAAGGTGACATTCCTGCCTTCTTGCTGCAGCTCACACGGTACACACGTCCTTGTCTTGGTCTCTGTAGTGCCCTGTTTTCCACATTTTTGTGCTTTATGCTGGTGATTTTGCTGTTTCAGATGCCCCCCATGCATTGTGTTGAAGTGCAGCCTAGTGTTGGTAAGTGCAAGAAGGCTGTGAAGTCCCTTATGGAGAAACACATATGTAAGAGAAGCTGCGTTCAGGCACGAGTGAGAGTGCATGTTGAGTGTTCATGAATCAGCAATCCACACTAAACGAGGTGCCGTTACACAGAAAACCAGGTTACATATTGATCATTGATAAACATCTTGTGAGCAGAGGCTTGCAGGAACCTAGCCTTGTATTTCCCCTAGGAGCAATGGTTTAGTATTCACAAAGTCAGTGTTCTTGGTGACTTCAGAACATAACTACGGTGAGTAACGAGAACCAACAGTTTTTGGGTCAAAGATTGGAGCTCTTTGGCACTAGTAGGGGAGTAAGAGAGAAATGGCCACATAAGGAAATCTGTGGAAATTCCACTCCTTCCTGTGCTGTCAGCCAACAAGACACTAATGGAGCTTTATGTGCTGTAAGGCAGTGGTGGGTAGAAATCAGTGTGGACCTGAGTCTGGGCGGATTAAGTCTACTTTCTCTCCTAACCACCTGCAGTCTTTTATTTTTCCGGACGGGCTGGGGACCAACATTAGTATTAGAACCCTGCAAAATGTCTGAATGTCCAAGTGGGCAAGGAGAGCATCATTTCCGCTCTGCAGGAGAGTGAGCTGGGCCAAACAGTGCAAATCTAGAAAAATGAGAAAACATAGCAACAGTGGTTTTCTGTTTCCTCTCTGACTTTACGACTAATCTATACCCATCAGTAGCAGGAAGAGATTTTCCTTTTGGAAGATCCTGGTATCTATTATCCATCCCATGGGAAAGGATTCCATTCATGCGTGCTTCCAAGTAGGACAAAACAAACAGCAGGAGAAATATTGAGAGAGGTGAGGCTTGTCTCACAAATCACAAACACGCAAGTGGGTTCATTAGCCCTGAGGGCATGAGTGAGCCACCATCTGTGGTTTGATATAAAATGACACCAATTGAACTGCTTCTAGCTATTGTCACAAACTCCCCGAAACAGATGGTGAGTGTCAGTAAATAATGGCAGACTCCTGAGTTAGATGATCCAGTGCAATCCCCAGACTGGCAGATTCCCACGAAAACATAATTAACTTAACTGCAGTGATGAGGACTCTGTTAATGAGAACATTTAGCAAACATGAGTCAGTTTGCTGGAATCTAGATGAAAACCACCAAGATTTCTCAGTAGCCCCCACGGATCGTCCTAAGTACTGACATAAAAAAGTCTCACTAACAGGGGTTCCATGAAGGGCCATGTTGTGTGACTCAAGGCCAAATCAGGAACTGATGCTTGAATGTCAGCTGCAGACACAGGTGAGGTTGCAAATTCTAGCTTCAGTGAACTGTGATATGGTTTGGCTGCATCCCCACCCAAATCTCATCTTGACTTGTAGTTTCCATAATCCACACATGTCGTAGGAGGGATCTGGTGGGAAGTAATTGAATCATGCGGGTGGCTATCGTCATGCTGTCTGATAGTGAGTTCCCACGAGATCCGATGGTTTTATAAGGGGCTTCCCCCTACCCTTTACTTGGCACTTCTCTCTCCTACTGCTAGTGAAGAAGGACGTGTTTGCTTCCCCCTCTGCCATGATTGTAAGTTTCCTGAGGCCTCCCCAGCCATGCAGAACTGTCAGTCAATTAAACCTCTTTCCTTTATAAATTACCCAGTCTCTGGTATTTCTTCAAAGCAGCATGAGAATGAACTAACACAAATGAGATGCAACTCATGCAAAGGAAGATAATGGATTCAAATTATTCCCATATTTTCAGAGAAGAGTGTGTATCCTGAATGACATTGTATCAGTGTGTGAACATCATCATGGAAAGTCGTCTTTCCCTCATCACTAGCCAGAGGCAGTGGCCTCATATGCCAAGGCCCAGTGGCACTGGGCAGTGTCTGCTCTGGTCTCCAGGACCTGCTCTGAAGTCATCAGCTCATGGGCCCACTGTGATGTTCGTGCAGGTCGAGGGTGGGGGCATGGCTTACAAAAGTCAATATGCCTCACGGTGGCTTGGAAGCCGGGGATACCGTCCAGGTCCCTGGGATGGAATGCAGGGAGTGCCACAGGAGGTCACATAGAGTTTAGATAAATGGGTCCCACACAGATCAAATGTGTAATAAGGCCATCAATGTTACCTTAGGGGTGTTCCGAGCTACATATAACTCTCCACTGATGTCAGAAAATGATCCTACAATTTCACAATATTCTTCTCCAACAAGTATTTGTTGAGCACTCACTCAGGGACAAGCATTTTGCTGAGGTGTAAGTGGAAAATAAATGAGGTAAATTTCTGCCCTTGGGGATGGAAATCTTAATTTTTTTTTGTGGTCAAGTACAGGGCCTGAACATCATGCTGTGTGAATCAAACTTTAAAAATGCATGCTCATGAGAAATGCCAGCAGCTGTGCTCTGTGACCCCCCTCTACGGCCCACTGTGTGCACCCTGTCGAAATCCCATCTCAGTTTCCTCCGCCCCTCCCTGTGCCGGATCTCCTCTCCACATCTCCTGGCCAAGTCTTCCCCATTGCTGAGTTCCCAGATGGCTTCCAGGTGACAGACTGGTAAAGTGATCATCATGACACTCTGAAAACGATGCTGTTTTGAGGCCTTTAAAAATAGCAGACATTTATTGCTGGCCTCCTGTGTGCAAGAGCTTTACCTGTAGTATCTCATTGTATCCTCCCAAACACTCACAAGCGCATTTTTATTCTCATTTTACAGACAACGCCAGAGACATTCAATACCATGGCCAAGGTCCCATGGTGAAAATATGGCGCATGTGAGATGCAGAACAAGAACCCAACAGGTGTCTGATTTAAAGGTCATGGGCATGGTCAACTCTACTGTTGGGCTCCTGGGAGGCTTATGCTGGTGGACTGACCCTAGATCGTCACCCTTGACTGAGGCTGTGCTGGTGGACTGACCTAGATCCTCAGTCCTGAGTGGAGGTTGTGCTGGTGGACTGACCCTAGACCCTCAATCCTGGTTGAAGCTGTGCTGGTGTACTGACCTAGATCCTAACCCCTGAGTGAGGCTGTGATGGTGGATTGACCTAGATCCTCACCCCTGACTGAGGCTGTGCTGGTGGAGTCACCTTAGATCCTCACTCCTGGGTGGAGCTTCTGCTGGTGCGCTGACCCTAGATCCTCATCCCTAGCAGAGGTTATGCTGGTGGACCGTCCTAGATCCTTACCCCTGACTGAGGCTGTGCTGATGGACTGACCTTAGATTCTCACTCCTGAGTGGAGCTTGTGCTAGTGCGCCGACCCTAGATCCTCACCCCTGACTGAGGCTGTGCTGGTGGACTGACCCTAGATCCTCATCCCTGACTGAGGTTGTGCTAGTGGACTGACCCTAGATCCGCAACTCTGACTGAGGCTGTGCTGGTGGACTGACCCTAGATCCTCAACTCTGACTGAGGTTGTGTTGGTGGACTGACCCTAGATCCCCATCCCTGGCTGAGGTTGTGCCGGTGTACTGTCCTGGATCCTCACCCTGACTAGGGCTCTGGCAGCACCATGCAGCCTCCCAGGATAGTCTGGCTCCTGTTGGCAGCACCCCTCCTCTTTCTCCTATCTTCAGATCAGTGCTGTGGAGCTCTGAGGCTAGGGGATTCCGGAGTTTCTAGCTCTTGATGAGGGGAGAGGGCAGGCAGCAGATCCTGGAGAGTCAGATGTGATCTGCAAGCCTTGAGATATCCCTGCACCCCAGGAAAAGTCAGGGTTGCTGGCCTCCTTGGTTCTGACTTCCTTTCCTGTGGGTGTCTGGTTCTAGCTTCATGGGGAGTTGGCACTAGAAAAACTCAGGCTTTTGTGCATGGAAGCCAGAGTTTTTGTTCCCACCATGGAGCCCAGGGTGCCCAGACTGTCCGTCCAGGTGTGCTGCCCCGCTCCCATACCTGAGCCAGGAGATGCACCTGGTCAGGCTGGTGAGGTGGGTGGGGTGGGGGAGAGGCCCACTGATCTCAGAAACAGACTCTGGGGTTGTGGGCTCATGCACAATGAGACCACAACACGCTTAGCACACTGGCTCCCAGGAAGGTCCTGGTTTCTGTTTTTATTTAGGAATGTTTCTCACTGCCATTTAGACTTGAGCCCACCTTGACTGGTGAGCAGGGAGGCTATGGGGTGGGAAGATAGGTTTCTGGTTATTTCCTACCCAAGTATGGTTCAGCGTGGCTCTGCTGGGAGGTTTAATGCGTTTATTTATTCATGCATTCACTACCCAGAGTGCTTGTTATGGCAAGGCCTGTGCCAGTGCCCCGGGCACATGGAGGGATCTGACGGGGTCTCTAGGCCAGGAAGCTTATCAGTTACTCCTCGCGATGGCTGGTCAGTGCCTCACTAACACAGATGGGAAGAAATAAATTGCCTAACAAACTAAGACTAGCTGACAGGTTCTGCAACAGGTAGTCCTCCCCAGAAAAACCAGCTCTTTCCTGCACTTCTGAGCAGCCTCTCCCACCCCACAGGCACTCCATGGCCCCACCTCTGGGTGGGTTCTGGTTATGGGGACGGCAATGTTGGCTTTGGAATGTGTGGCCTCACCTGGAGCTCCTTGCTCTCCTTTCTGTCCTGGGACTCCCACAGGGCCTGGAAGGGTGTTGGCGTCTCCTGGGTTGCCTCTGTCCCCAGGAGGGCCTGGGAAGCCTGGGTCTCCGTGGATGTCGGCACCTGTGGAAGAGTTATAACAGCAGCTGAGGTCGGTGTTTCCAACCATACAGCTGACTTTCCTAAGGGGAAGAACAGCTTGGGGTGCCTCAAAAGCAGAGAAACAGAGGCAGCCTTGGTGATTTCAGATTGCATTACAGTATATGGCCTCCAGGTCGCAGGAGCTGAGATTTGGAAGGGATCTTTTTTTTTTTTTTTTGAGACGGAGTCTCGCTCTGTCGCCCAGGCTGGAGTGCAGTGGCCGGATCTCAGCTCACTGCAAGCTCCGCCTCCCGGGTTCACGCCATTCTCCTGCCTCAGCCTCCCGAGTAGCTGGGACTACAGGCGCCCGCCACCTCGCCCGGCTAGTTTTTTGTATTTTTTTAGTAGAGACGGGGTTTCACCATATTAGCCAGGATGGTCTTGATCTCCTGACCTCGTGATCCGCCCGTCTCGGCCTCCCAAAGTGCTGGGATTACAGGCTTGAGCCACCGCACCCGGCCGGAAGGGATCTTACAGAGATCACAGTGGAAGCCCTTGGCTTTATGGATAAGAGGATCGAGGCCCATCAGAGGGTCCAAAATCACAGCAACAGTGGGTCAGGGAGCTGGGACCCGTCCCGGGCCTCTTGGCTCCTGGGGGCTGCTCTTCAGGCTATGCTTAATTATGTTTTCAAAGTAAACACTGTCTAAAGTCTTCCCCATTCTCATAACAGGTGTTCATCGCCATCGTGGCAGGAAACAGCAAGACAACTTGACAAGGATCTCCTGCCACTTGCCCACTGGAACTGGAATGGAGTGTTAATGACGCAGGAGTGCGTGAATTTACATGTCATATACACATATACAAATTCACCTGTAGACAGAGCAATATTTGGTTATATGAAACGTCTACAAAGAGCACATTCTAAAAGCAGCTTTAGGATTATGGGTGCTTTTCTCCCTCTTAACACATTAAAAATGTGTTAATTTTTAAATGTGTTTAAATGTGTTAATTTTTTTTCTCCACTGAACATAAATAATTTGTATACATTGAAAAGAAAACAAGGTTATCTTTTGAAAAAAAGACACAATCAATAATAAAATGATTCCCCACTTAGTGCCTGATGTCCTTCAAATGTTATTTTATTAGTCCTATAAGAGATTACAAAATTAAATGAAAAGACAAGGACATTAAGATTTAGGGTGAAAATAGCTGAATTTAAAATAAAAGTTTCAACAAGCTGCCAAGCCTTCCTGTACTATTGCTATCTCAGCTTCTTGGGGAGGACAGGTTAAAGGGAGGCCTTCTGTGGGAAAGCCTGATGATCCTTGTGATGAATAAATTGACATCCAGCTGCTGTTATTATATCCTGGAAGGGCTCAGGATGGAAACCTTATTCTGCCATTGGTTGTTGGAAATAATGAGGCTTTATATCCCCTTCAAGGAAAAAAATGTGCTACAATAGTTTATAAAATAAGCCAGAAAATGCTATGAAAGGTGTCAGTTTCTTTTTCCTGTGGAGTAAGAAGCCCTTGGTTCGCCATCGCTATGGACTGATGGTGTCATTCTCCCCAGCCCCAAAGTTCATAAGTGGAAGCCCTAACTCCAGTGTGATGGCATTTGAAGGGGGGGCCTTTGGGAGGTAATTAGGGTTACGCCGTAAGGTCATGAGGATGGGGCCCCAAGATGGGGTTACTGCCCTTATAAGAAGTGACAGGGGAGAGCGGGTGCTCTCTCCTGTGAGGACACAATGAGCAGCCAGGACGCGGCCCTCCCAGAACCCGACCACGCAGGCATACGGATCCCAGCCTCCAGCCTCTGGCCACTGGCCTCCAGAACTGGGAGGAAACCCATTTCGGTTGTTTTTGGCTCCCAGCCTGTGGGTGCCACAGACTCAGCGCTATCACTGTCTCCAGCATCAGAACTGCCCCGGGGTAGGTGGAGACTGCGGGCTTTCTTATGCCAGTGAAATGAAAGATCACAGACACACACTGGGCAGTGAATACTCTGGACACCTGAGGGGTGCAGCTGCGTCCCACCGTCCACACAGTGCTGCTGAAAAAGCAAGGACTCTATTTCTCTTTCTGTCTAAAAGCCTGATGGGTCCATTCAACACAGCAACTGGCTTGAGAAACCGATTCTTAGGGATCACATCTTAGCAGCGTACAGGACCACGGGGCCCAGACGCGCCTCTCAGGGCCCATCACATAGCACTTCAGGAAGCCCACCCAGCTCTCTGAGACCCTCCCTTCCCTGAAGTCTGGAGGGCAGACTCAGCACAGAGTACCTGGGGATCCTGGAAAGCCTTTGGTGCCTGGCAAGCCGTGTAAGCCGCGGATCCCACGGAGTCCCGGAAAACCTGTGAGGGTGTCACTCATTGTTATTTCACGTGTAGGATGGCACAGGGAGTTCCGGGTGGGAGAAACCCTCAAGATAACTCAGATGTGTTCTGTTGGCTCTGAAACTGTCACCTGGTACCGTCACCCATACAATCCTGCTAAAGCCCCACAAATAGGAAGCAGCTAAGCCACACGCTCAACTTACACGACATGTAAACTAACTACTCTTATGTTACCTAGGAAAACCACTGAACTGGGACACTGTCTTCATGGAATCTTTTTAACAGACTCACTAGGCCAGAAGGGGCCTGGGGAGGGGTGACATGTCCCATACCTCTTCTTGACGCCTGGCCACTGTTGTATGTTTGGTTTGTAAAAGCTGCTTGGAACAAATAGCCCGGTGTCATTTCCATCCCTCTGGATTTCTGAGGGTAAATATTTCTAAAGCAGGACACAGCAAACGGGTGGCAATTCCTTCTGTGACGTGGGCAGTAAGCATGGCAGGGTGGCCCATCTCGGGGTTGCAAGGGGGCTGTAAGGCGGCCCCGGGGCGGCCTGTGCGGCACAGTGGGACACTGAGGCTGCTCCTGCACCCTGATCTCGCTGTGCATCCCTGTGTGGCGATGACAAGTGGACCCTGAAGCCTCTCTGGGAGGCTTTCATTCATCCTTCTGGGAGGTGAAGTCCTGGGCAGATTTATGCGTCTGGCTTGATTCCCAGTCACTGGGGGCACCAGTATACCCTGTGCTGCTATGTTGGTGCAGACCACCACAAGCCACAGCAAACCTGCCTTTGCTCTCATATGGGCCTTTGAAGTCACCCTGCGAGAGGCTGGCCTGCTCAGTGGTGCCTCCTGCACAGCTCACGACTCTGGGTCTGGGTGACCGTGTGTTTTGCGTGGCCTTACCTGGTAAGCCTGGAATTCCCGGCCAGCCATCATCTCCTTTGCCACCAGGCAGTCCAATCCGCCCCGGCTCTCCCTGCGACCCTGGAGGCCCAGTTAGCCCTGGAAAGCCTGGGAGTGAACACAGCATTAAGTCTGAGCACAGAGGACACCGTGGGTACTGCCTGGTGAGGTCCTGGCGGAAGGGGCAGCTGCTCTGGGAGGGGCTGAGGGCTGGAAGGGCTGCAGTGCCAGTTGGAGGAGAGATTAGACCTGTCCCTCAAGCTGGGGATGCAAGTGGTCTTAGACCCCACAAACAAATTCAGTAGGATTTGCTCAGCCTTGCCAGAGAGAAAATAGCCTGTCGTTTTAATTCTCGCCCTATTATCCAAATAGACGTCTGGAGAGGACCCCGAGGCAGAGCCTAGAGATATGAGCCTCCTGGCGTTCCCCGGTGCTGAGTAAACACAGCCAGAAGCAGCAACACCGTGGGAAGCCAGCCCACTGTCCGCGCTCCTTCTCTAACCGAGGATGTTCTTAGGGGGTTCTGCATATTCAATGCAAGCAAAGGGATCCCTTACAAACTGTCGGCTTCTATATGATAAACTGAGGCTCGGCCGAAAAGGCACTTCTCATTCACCCCCATGCTTCTCTCCAGTTCTCAGGTCTCCCCCCAGCCCAGGCGGTTGTTTCTCCCCACGCCGTCCGCCCTGAGGAAGGCTCCTAAGCGGGCAGCAGGCATGAGTGAGCTTCCAGGGTTGGGTGTGATTGGAGGAAGCTGACAACATTGGCCGCCTTTGTTCTGGGGTCTCCGGAGGGCCCGCCTGAGGAAGGCTGTGTGGCTGCGGGAGATTGTACCTGTTTGTCCTTTAAGCCCAGGAGGGCCTTGGACTCCAGTCACGCCTGTTATCCCAGGGAAGCCGATGTCACCTTCTGTTCCCTTCTCTCCAAAGAATCCCTTCAGACCTGCAACCACAGACATGCTGTTGGAACAGACACCGCACCCCTGTGGGCTCCAGGGAACCCCAGCTCTAGTATGTACAGAACCATACTCCTGCTCCTCCAGGAATGGAGAGAGGCATCTAACCATGCTCCTTCCTCAGCTGATTTTTAACCTAGTTCCTCCCTCTGAGCCTGCACTAGCCAGCCTTCAAGGCAGCACCCATGCACCCCTCACTGTCTTAGGGAAAACAGGACACCCCCAGGGACGATGGGCACAGCTGGCCCCACCCTTCCACTGTGGGACCGCAGCTCTGAGACACTGTCTCCTGGTGATGGACGCAGGGGAGGCTCCACTCCAAAGCCTTTCTGGCCCCAGAGTCTAACAAAAACCAAAATGTTCAAAGGGTAACACCAAAAATAATTCTTGGGTGGGGGTAGCGTCTCTTCCCTGACACATTTTCAGTTGAACAAGTGAAGGCATCATTACAGACGCATGGTAATGATGGTCCACGTTTCTGTCTTTATAAACCAAACGGCCAGAGTGATGGCCTAGGGTGGGAGACGCAGCCAGCCAAGCGTCGGATGGCTTAGCAGCACAGAGCTCCCCTGTCACTCAGGAGGAAGCCACTGGGAGCCCAGGTCACAGATAACAAAGGAGCCCGGGAGGGCTGGTAAACAGGGGCGCCTATTTCCCAGCGGCAGTTCTCTGATCCTGTGCTCAACCGAACACGTCTTTGCCTTCCAGAGCAATTTCTAGACAAAGAACTAGCCCAGCAGTCTCCCCACTGGTCAACCCTGGACAGACTCCTTTTCTCCCACCAGGGCCAGCCCTGCAAACACCTGGGGCTCCAGCAACTTGAGCAGTGTGGGGTCCCCCCCAAACGAAAATCCCGAGAAGGAAGAAAACTATCACAGGCCCCTTGAGACGTCACTGCAGGCAGGAATTTAGGAGTGGAACCTCAGGGATGCACAGAAGGGAAGGGAGGCACTGTGCCATCCCAGCCCCTCCCAGCTTGCTCGGGCTGGTCAGCTGCCTCCGTATCTCTCTTAAGCGATGGCCTGACTGCCACTCCCCCTTTCCTGGACCCTTCGCTGTTTCTGAGAAGCTCGGCTCAGCGACCACCTGCTGCACCCCCTCAGGTGTCCCAGGAGCCAGGGTGCTAGGTGGCTTTTCACCAGCTACACGTTACAGGCTGCACCGACTCTCATTCACCGAGTGTCCATTCTGGCTATTTTCAGTATCAACGAGAGAGACACACAGAGAGAAAGACGTCTTGATTTTTGCCTTCAGATTTAACTTAATTAAAACTGACGGTCTTTCCTGCACATTGGGCTTGAAGACCTCATTCCCTATCAAGTGCTTTCTGGTTGTTACCAAATTTGATCTGTTTGGCAAGTCGGGCTCCTAGACGAAGGCTCAGGGCTGTTGTTGAAGACGAAGACACGGAAAATAACTCGTGTACCTGGGATTCCAGCGGTGCCCTGCTCCCCCTTCAGGCCTGGTCTTCCTGGTAAATTTATAGTGTCCCCGATGTCACCTGTTAAATGCAAAAAAGATGGCTAAGAACAGGACTTTCCACCGGGAGGCTGTGAGTTTTGCAACTTCTATTTTGTGATATTCCTAACAAGAATAATTTGCTTTAAAATACCTAACAGCACTTGCAGGTCTGATACTGGCTCACGTGCTCAGAGAGCTCTGAATTGTGGACTCCCTGTTTTCACTGGACGGGCAACACTCACCGAAATCACCGGTCGGGCCGATCTCGCCATACAGGCCTGCTCTCCCCGGGGCGCCTTTGTCACCCTAAGGACAGACACGAACCATCTTAGAAGGCTGTTAGTGAAGTCAGCTGTCACTCTGAAGTTAGCTCACTTGTTTAACTACCCAGTATGCTAACAACCATACTCAAGGTGTGTGATCTCGTCATTTTGCAGAAAACTTTGAGTTTTTCAGTGTGCATCACAGGTGGTTTGCTTAGCTGTTCTTTTTATATATTTTTTTCTTTGAGACAGGATCTCACTCTGTCACCCAGGCTGGAGTGCAGAAGCACAATCACAGCTCAGTGCTGCCTCGATTTCCTGGACTCAAGCCATCCTTCCGTCTCAGCCTCCTGTGCAGCTGGGATTACAGGTGTGAGCCACCAAGCCTGACTAATATTTTTTAAATTTTTAGTAGAGATGGGGTCTTGCTATGTTGCCCAGGCTGGGCTTGAACTCCTGGGTTCAAGTGATTCTCCCTCCTCTGCCTTCCAAAGTGCTGGGATTACAGGTCTGAGCCACTGTGCCTGGCCTTGCTGTTCTTATGGAACTGTGAAGTGATCAAATGAAACAAGCTTGGCAACTGCATCATAATTAAGGGCCCAGGTCTCGATCACGACGGTGTGGTGATGTCAGCAGCGGCGGGGACTCTGACCACATCCTCACTCTGCCATGCTTTCCCGCGCACACATGGTGGACCCCATCTCAACGGCGTATTCACGCCTTATGAAAACCCTGCCAGGTGGGCACCGTTACTTCCCAGCGACAGGCAAGGGAACTGAAGCACAGACAGGTTTTGTTTAAGGTCACTCAGCCAGCAAGCGGCAGAACTGGGATTTCCATTTGGGCGGCCAGACTGCAGAACTTGCTCCCTAGATTGTAACAGAGACATGGGGCTGTGCGCTTCCATCTGTGCACAGAGGGAGACTCCTCCAGAAGCACGTAGGTGGCTGGTGAGGAGGTTGGGAAGATGCCTGGGGTGCTTGGTGGCTTCCTAGAAGCCCTAGTTTTCCTCTCTAGGTGGCTTCCCCGGCAGAGGGAGCATGAGAATTCTGGTCTGCCCTGGTGCCACGGGACTTCAATACTACAGCATCAATGCCCAAGCATGGCCTAACATGAGTCGCTGCAGTATTAACATAGCCAGGCTGGGCACGGTGGCGCAAGCCTAGAATCCCAGCACTTTGGGAGGCCGAGGCAGGTGGACTGCCTGAGGTCAGGAGTTCAAGACCAGCCCGGCCAACATGGTGAAACCCTGTCTCTATTAAAAATACAAAATTAGCTGGGCGTGGTGGTGCATGCCTGTAATCCCAGCTATTTGGGAGGCTGTGGCAGGAGAATCGCTTGAACCAGGAGGCGGTG